GTATCTCCAGCCCAGTGCTCATCACGGAGGAGGATCTAGTGATAACTATTGACTGAAAGGGAGGGTGTGGCCGAGGGAAAGTGAGGGGCCTGCTGTGAGCCTGCCTGGGCCCCTCATCCCAACATCAGGCCCAGACTCAGGCCAGTGGTCAGGACTCGGCCTGGCCAGGAAGGTTCCAGAACCCAGGGTCAGCTGGTCTGACTCCACTCATTTCCACTCTATTGTAGCCCTGTCATTTATTAATTTCATCACTTCGTTCATTCCTTCATTCCTTAAATCTCCCATTCATCCGTCCGCCTGTACATCCATCAACAAACACTTGCTTCTTCTCCCGGCCAGGCCCGGTTCTTGGCACATGAGAGTCAGTGGTGAGCCAGGTTGCCACCTCCCTGCCCTTACAGAGTCACCTTCTCGTGAGACACAGACACCCAGCAGGTAGACAGATAAGTCTGTCACGAGTCACAGCGGCTGGGATGCGGGCCAAGAAGGAGAGAAGCACATGGCAGGATGCGCTGGGCTGGGAGGAAGGCTGCTGGGGCAGGGGCTACCTCAGGGGCTCAGCCAGGCCAGGGACATTCAAGATGAGCTGAGATCACGGCGCCGTGATGTTACGGGACACATAGACAAGCACGAGGACGGAACCCAGATGGTGCTGTGGAGGGACTCAGGCAGGCGGCGTGATGGTGTGCCAAGGTCGGGCAGCTGGACATGGCTGGTGCTCCGCCCAGAGCGGGGAGGGGGGTGCATCTGGCCAGGACAGTCAGGGCTGGCAGCAGCACTGGGCCCACTCCTGCTGGGACTGGCTTCCCAGTTACGCGAGTGACCGCGAGAGGGAGATGTTTTCCCCCTCCTCCTCCAGACCTGGGCTGTCCCTCAAGGCCATCCAGCCAGAGCCGTGCCAGCGAGACCTGAGCCAGCCCTGGGCCGCCATCCTCCATGCAGCCACTCACCCGGACAGGGACACTGGCCTGCTGTCTCTGGCTCAGGCTGGCTTCAGACACCCCAGCAGGGGGTTCTGCAAGCAGAGGTACCCCACCTCCTCCTGTCTAGGCTGCGCTATTTATCATGTAGCCCAGACATGGCCAGTTGCCCAGCTGCCCCAGCTGGTCCCGCCGGCACACAGATGGACACCCCTGGTGGACCTGGAGCTGTTTCCTGGAGCTGGGAGGATGGGGCTGGTGGTGGGGGGGGGCTGATCCCAGAGGGGATAGGGCTGATCCCAAGGGGGGGATGGGGCTGATCCGAGGGTGGGAAAGGACTGATGCCAGGGGTGATGGGGGTGATGGGGATGATGGGGCTGATCCCACGCCCCCAAGGGGATGGGCCTGATCCCAGGAAATTGCCCCTACCCTCACATTGCCCCTACCCTCACCCCATTTCTAGGCCTTCCAGGGAGGAGGTCACACCCCTCCTTAGCGTCACAAGACTGAGGGCTACCCGTCTCAATGCTCCCAATGCAAAGCCCACCCCACCTCCCAGGGCCCTCAGGGTGGCCTCTAACGATGGGGATTGAGGAAGGCAGGGGCAGGGGCAGGGGCTGCGCTCCACGTGGCAGAAACCCTTCATCCTGGGAAGACGAAAACCTGCAAAGGTGGGTATCTCAGGCTTGGGGGACAGCTTCTCTCCTTTATACTTTTTAATGTTCCCCAGAGTTCTCAACATATTACTTTTCCAGTGGGGGGGGGGGGTTTTAGTCGACAGTCGTTTTTTTTTTTTTAAATAATCAATGGTTTTTATGTAGTTATAAAACGCTTTGTTCTAACAGGTTTATCTTGCGTGTATAGAATGTCTTTATTTTGGTTTCAAAGAAAAAAGGAATTTCTGTGAGTCTCTATTTAAAAGATAAATGACTAGAGGATTCTGCACCCACAGTGGTTCTCTCTGGGTGGAAGAATGCGGTGATTTATCTTGTTAATACCTTCCGCACGGCTTGAACACTGTAACAACGACCACGGACTGTTTCTTATTTTTTGTCATTAGAAATCGCAGCAAATGGTTTGTGCTTTGAAAGCTCGACTTTCCTGTTTTTCTCTTTTTAACAAAACGCCCCCTGAGGGCAAAGACTGACTGGGGGCGGAGGGGGCTGGAGGAGGGGTGGGCCGGTGGGCCGGCCGGGGCTACAGGTGAACCAAGGGGCCGGAGAGGAGGGGCTCTCGGGATGGGAGTCCGGAGCACCCCACAGGCAGCCTCGGTGGGGCATGGGGGCTGGAGGAAGGGCGGGTCTAGCCCAGCTCCATTTTTTAGCTTTGATACCACTTTGTGCTTTTCTAGGAGTTGGGTTTGTTTTGTGAAGAGCGGCGCCACCTGGTGGCCTCGGAGGATACTGCTGCTGGGGCCACAAGGACAGGGCGGGTGCTCTCCTTCTTGGGGTGAAGGGGTTTAGGGGGAAGTGCAGGGGAGGGGGCGGGAGAGGAATGAGCTGGTGTCTGCACTTGGCCGTCCTTTCTAAGGCTCCACTGCAACCCTTTAGTGAGAATAGTCCGGCATCCGGGATGCTGAGGTTCCCTCTGCCAGGCACCTGCCTGGGGGTCTTGGGGGGCACCCATCCTTTCACGTCCTCAGTTCCTGTGTGCAACAGGGGTGCTGGTGTGTGGTGTGAGCAGGGGCAGGGTTGGGCGGAGGAAGGAGCCAGGCCAGGCGCCAGGGTTGAGGGTCTCTGTCCTGAAGGCTTCCTCTTTACCCGACCCTCCCAACCCCCTCCCCAGCCTTGTCCTCTAACGCCTTGGCATGGGAGGGGGGCAGATGGTCTTTCATTGCCTGTCCTCCCCCTGAGTCCTGAGGACTAGTGGGGTCCCAGCATCTTTCTGGGGGTGAGGTGGGCTCCTGTGGTCCTGGGAGTGTCTTGGGGTGAGGGCTGGGCAGGGTGGGGAGGACCAGGTGGTCTCTTGTTGCCTATTCTTCTTGGGTCCTGGGGTCTCTCTAGGGGGTGGGTCAGGGCTCTCTGTAGAAAGGGTCTCCGGGTGAGGGCTGGGCAGGTGAGGAGTGCTGGGCCACCATCTACACTCGACCCGTGGACAGGGACAACCCCACAGCCCCCCGCTTGTCCCCCTCACCCAGCGCCCTCTGGAAGACAGTCCGCGGGGGCTCCCGCTTCCCCCGCTGCCGGCCCAGCATGCAGTAGACCAGGGGCTTGGAGCCATTGTGGACGCAGGCCAGCAGCATGGCGAGCGGCGGGAAGATGGGCAGCAGGAGGCTGAGCAGGGGCTGAAGGCTCCAGTAGAGGACCAAGGGTAGGCCGCACACCAGGAGCAGCAGCGTGGAGGCCAGGATGAGGCCGTAGAACCACAGCCATGGGTGCTGCGAGCAGCAGTCCACCCACACGAGGAGGACAAGGCCCGACCGCAGGCCATGCCGGCCAGGACCAGCAGCCAGGTGACGCTGGCCGCGTGGTAGCGGAGGAAGGCCAGCGGGAGTGTGCGGTCGTGCAGCAGGCCGCAGGCATGGGCAGGCAGGAGTACGGCCGGCAGGGTCAGCGCCCAGATGAGCGTGCAGAGCATGGCCGTGGCATGGCGGGGGTGGCAGCACTGGTAGCAGCGGGGGGATGTCGGAGAGGCAACGCTCGGCGCTGAGGGCCGCCAGCAGCCGGAGCCCCACCGCGAACCAGAGGAAGCTGATGGCGAAATAGAGCAGGTCGGAGCCCAGGGCCGCCTCGACGGCCGAGAAGGCCACCTGGCAGCCCAGGAACAGGAAGTCGGCAGCCGCCAAGTTGAGCACGTAGACATTGAAGGGGCCCTTCTTGATATGGAAGCCCAGGTTCCGGAGGACCAACCCGTTGCCCACCAGCCCGCCCAGGCTGACAAGGAGCGTGAGGTAGAAGATGACACTGTTGAAGGTTCTCCAAAGGCCGAACATTCTGGTTTTTCTGGCTGGCTGGCCAGGCCTGTCCTCGGGGAGCTGAGCCTGAAGGAGGCTGGGAAGGAGGTGGTGGGCGTTAATTCATGTTGTCATTCAAGGGAGTGTCAGCAGCAGCTTGGCAGAGTGGACCCTGGGGTAGCCGGACAGACCTGGGGGCCACCCTGTGACGGGTTGAGTTGTGTTTCCCAAAAAGATATGTTCAAGTCCTAACCTTTGCCCCGGTGAATGTGACCCTGTCTGGGGAAATGAGGGTTTTCTTCGCAGACGTCATCAGT